GTGTTGCAGTAGTATAGGTTTGTAGTACAGGTACGGAGAGATGATGACTGTTCAGAGACAGAGACTAGCAGCTCAGTATTTGTTCATACTCTCACCACTCACCCCACTATTAGCTCATACAGATTAATATTTTTTATTAATTTTTTTGTACCAGGGATCGAACTCGGGATCTTGTGCTTGTGAGGCAGGTGGCAGAACCACTGAGCTAAATCCCTCACCCTCATACAGGTTATTTTTGGCATGGTCATTGTTCAGGATACTCTATTGTGTATTACAACATTAAAAGGAACAAATTGGTACAAGGTCCTGAGTTGGATCCCTGGGACCAAAAAAAAAAAAAAAAACCAATTGATCAAGTACATGTGAATGATAATGTCCTCCTTTAGGCTAGCAATGTAAGTATGGATTAATACAATAGTCCTCCTTTATCTGCAGTTTTACCTTTCATGGTTTTAGTTACCTACATGGTCTGAAAATATTAAATGGAAAATTACAGAAGTAAAGAACTCTTGAATTTTGTTGTTTTTTGTTTTGCCCTGAGACAGGATTTCACTATGTAGTTCAGGCTGGCTTTGAAGTCACTATGTAGCCCAGGCTGGCCTCAAACTTGAGGTGATCCTCCTGCCTCAGCCTCCAAAGTGCTGGGATCATAGGCAAGCACCACCATGCCTGGCTTTGAGTTTTAAATTGCACACTGTTCTGTGCACCCTGATGAAGTCTTGCAGTGTCCAGCCTGGGAAGTGAACCATCCTGTTGTACAGTACATCCATTCTGTGTATGTTATCCACATATTAGTCACTTAGCCTTCTTGGTCATCAGATCAACTGTCTTGGCATGCTGTGCATCTATTCAGGTAACACACATTTTACTTTGTAATGGCCCAAAAGCACAAGAGGAGTAATGGTAGCGATTTTTTCACATCACATTGTTAAAAAATTTTCCACTTGTGGTATAATACTGGCAATCAAGAAGTTTCAGATCTCAGATTTTAAGGTTATAGATGTTTATCTTGCATATGTACTGTTTGGCACTATCTGCAATTTCAGGCATCTACTGGTCATCTTGGAATGTATCCTCCAAAGATGAGAGGTAACGACTATACAGACTTTCTGGGGATAGCAATGTATGCAAAGCTGGAATATTCATAACCTTTAACCCAGAAAAACTTTACTGAACATTTATAAAAGAGCTCTTCATAAAAACATGTATAAGAATACTATCTCAGTTTCATCTCAGTTTCACACTAGAGAAAAATTGGAAAATTCCTACATTTTCCAGTTAACAGCTAACTGTTTTATGTATGTCCATTAATTGAAGACTGTCACTGAGTGACATCTGGAGATACGGGTGGCTGTTGTTTGTTTTCTGTGTTTTGTTTTGGGTTTGGTTTTGCTTATTTTTTTATTAGTACATGTTTGCAGCACATAAAATTTTACATTCATCTTAGGGAATGTACATGTACACAATACAGCTTCTTGTTTTTTAATCCCCTTCCCATCCACCTCCCTCCCTCTGCCTCTAAATCCTCTTTCCCAATTTTCATTGTTCATATTATTCTTAGCTCATGTTCATGACATATAACATTCATCAATGTTATTAGATTCCTGTACATGCCATACCTTTATTCTACTTACTTCCCCTCCCCCTCACCTCTTGCCCTCAGTCTCCTGGACCCTTCCTATTTGCAAGAGATCTGTCTCCTTCTTTCCTTCTATCCATTCTTTATTACCCTCTTTGTACTCTGCCTTACTGAAATGACACATGCTATATGGTATTTAAGCTTGTTTGTCTGATTTACTTCATTCAGCATTATATTTTCCAGGTGCATCCATTTCCTTACAGATGTCACAAATCTGTCCTTTGTGGCTTAGTATTCCATTATGTTTAGATACTACATTTTCTTTATCCACTAGTCTGGGTATACAGGCTGCTTCCAGGATTTAGCTATTATGAATTATGCTGCTGTGAATACTGGTATCCATGTATTGTAGTATGATATCTTTAGCTCTTTGGAGAAGATACCTACTAGTAAAAGGGAAATAGCTGGTTCTTTTTTATTTTTTGCAGTACTGAGATTTGAACTCAAAGAGTGCTCTACCATTCAACTACAGTAATACTGTACCTCAGTTCACGAACATTCTGTTCACTGAACAATTCAGTTCACAAACAAAAGTGTTCAACAAAATTTTTCTACTGTTCAAACTCCGCATTGGGTGGTTAACACAACTGTGGCCATCTTCTCTGCAAGAAGGTGAACACAGCCATCTTCCCCAGAATCATGCACCAAATTAAGTTCATGAACTGAAGTGCCACTACATTTTCAATGAGTCCTAGGCTCTCCCTCAGTTGAGGAACTTTAGGGCTGTGAACGGCTTCACTATGGGAACTGAGCCAAGGATGTGAACACTACTTACAGTTATTTCAGTTTGGTTTCTGGCTAGAAGATGTAGTTTCCCTACATATATATGAAATAGCACTTTGGAAACTGAGCCATCTATTTTATCTTGGGAATACCATGATTATCTGTTGCCACAGAAATATGTGATTAAATCTCTTTAACACTCCATCCCTTATTTTCTTGTTCTTATTGTGCCTAGCCTCTACCATGCCAAAATTTCAGGCCATCTTCATTACCGAAAATGGGATCTTATTTCCTTCATAGACGCTCCCAACATCATTTACAGCTTAGAGAGACAGGCAGAGTTCTTTAAGGATGATGGTACATGCATCACTAATGTGATTTCTTACTTCTTTGAAGGGAGTGTTTTATTACTTTTCCAAGGCTGATTATAGCTGAGCATTTAAAAGATCTATTCATGGTCAGGAATGACGGTATATGCCTGTAGTCTCAGCACTCTAGGAGGCTGAGGCAGGAGGATATCCACTTTGAACCCAACCTGGGCAACTTAGACCCTGTCTCAAGATCTAAAATATTTTTAAAAGGCTGACAATATAGCTAAGTGTAAAGGCTCTGGGTTCAATCCCCAGTACCATCAAAAAAATCCATTCTGATATTCCTATCTCCCTCAATAGATGTTAAAATGTTCAGATATCCACTCAGGGCCTTGAAATGTGTTCCCTATGAATGAGGGAGGACAGATCCCACTGAGTGGATAGGAGAGTGGGGCTTATATCTGGATCAGAAAATAGAAGGTACCTGGTATATCCTAAATAATATCAATTTGAATAATTTTTCATTTCTCCAATTTTTTTTTTTTTTTTTGGAACCAGGGATTGAACTCAGGACCTTGCACTTACAAGGCAAGCGGCGGCACCACTGAGCTAAATCCCCAACCCTCTCCAATATTTTTGACAGCTCAGGTTAACCTGATTTTTACTATGATAGAGACTACCACCACCCAAGAAAAGTGAATCATTTACTGGATACCCAAATCTTTCAAGGCATGTTTCTCATGATAGTTTGAGACATTATATGGTTGTAAGATTAAGCAGCCTCTCCTAAACAGTTCTTACAGTGTTTTGGGAAGCTTCACAAATGTGTACACAAAATGTCATACCTAATGCAAGTCTGAGGAAATACAATGCTTCTAGTAATACCTGTAAATCAACTACATGATTGAGAGCAAAAGTCAAACTCCACCTTCTCCAGTGAAATATTTACCTAATAACACCTTCTACAGACATGTCCTCAGTACAGTCACTACAATATCAATGCTTAACAGTTACCTCTACTCATCCTGTAATTGTATAAAATTGCTTACTTTCTCAGTCAAAGCAAACTTAATCTGATGCTGTGAGCTCTGCCCGCTGGGCAGCTGATAATGCCAAATCAGCTTTAAATACGTGCTCACAACTGTTCTCCAAAAAAAAAAAAAAGGGCAGGGGATTTAGCTCAGTGGTTCCGCCGCCTGCCTCACAAGCACAAGGTCCCAAGTTTGATCCCCAGTACCAAAAGGAAAAAAAAAAAACTGTTCTCACTGTAAAGGGGACAAAGAGGAAAACTGCTTGGGCATTTTCCTGGGTGTAGCTTAAACTAATTTCAGACAGTCTATAGTCAGGTTCAAATATATATGAGTTAGCGTAATTTTAAATCCAAATCCTCATCTCAAAAGTAAAACCACATAACTAAAAGTGTTTCCACACTGGTATATTTGTACAAAATAGCACATTAGTTTTCATTGTTGATGTCAAAATTGTGGTAGTTACATTTTCACAATCACACCTGCTGTGGAGGAAATCAAGTGCAAGGTTATTACAACCTAAAAGATTTATTCACAACTTCCTTTTCTGAATTCACTTTAAAATTCCCATCCTCTCCATCCAAACACAAAAAAGACCTTTGCTTATATTGTTTCTGTCCAGCAATCTAAGATTATTGTTACTCATCACAGTGATAGTTTTTTCCCCAGTATGGTTTTCTTTTGACATACTGCATAAAGTCAGCCTACACTCACCTAGAGTTGCTTTCTCTCTTTCAAGAGTATTTAGAGCTGGGGATTTAGCTCAGTGGTTCTGCTGCCTGCCTCGAAAGCACAAGATCCTGATTTCGATCCCTGTCCAAAATAAGAATTTAAAATTTTAGTTAAAATTGCATGATAGTCTTTTCCAAATCATTGTATCACTTCATAAATTATCTAATGTCCAAACAAAGTAACCCTTTTGTAATGTTTTTCCTTATAATTCTGTCCTAGTTGAGCTGACAGAAGTAGGGTGAGGGCTCATCTCTAAAAGCTTCTTCATGTCTGATATGTACTCTTTCTTGGAAGATATTTAAAAATACAAAATAACAGATATTACCAGATGATATCTTCTCAATACTGATTTCGTCTTCTGATGTTGCAAAAACAATGAACTGCTACTAATAGCTGTCCCACATATTCCTGGGGGTTTCTTCAGGATGAATAAGATATAGCCCACATTTCTTTACATTCAACACATTCATATAAGACTTCTTTCTAAGAGCTCTCTGAAGTGAAAGTAAGGCATTATTTTTCTACGTTTGTTTTTAACTAAATATTCTTGGGTTTTTGGAGTGTGATTCACTGGTGTTCAGTAAGAAATGAGTGGTAAATGAATTTTCATATTCATAGGGGTTCTCTAGGTTATGTGTTCTCTGATGTTTAGCAAGGTTTGAGCTCCAGCTGAAAGATTTGTTGCACACCTTACATACACAGGGCTTCTCTCCAGTGTGAGTTATCTTATGTAGGATGAGGGAAAAGCTCCTACTGAAGGCTTTGTCACATTCAGCACATGTATAGGGTTTCTCTCCAGTATGAATTTTCATGTGTTGAATAAGGGATGCATGCCAAGTGAACACTTTCCCACATTCATCACATTCATAGAGGTTTTCTCCAGCATGAATTCTCTGATGTTTAATAAGGAATGAGTGGCAACAGAAAGCCTTCGTACACTCATGACACTCATAGGGGGTTTTAGTTTTATGCATGCTCTGATGTCGAGTAAGATGTGATGAACGGCGAAATGCTTTCCCACACTCAAGGCATTCATAAGGTTTCTCCCCAGTATGTGTAATCTGGTGGTGAATGAGTTCTGAACCAGTGCTAAAGGCTTTCCCACATTTCCTACAGACATATTGTTTCTTTCCCATGTGAATTCTCTGATGTCGGGTGAGGTTTGAGGCACGACTAAAGGCCTTTCCACACTCAGTACATCCATAAGGTTTTTCCCCAGTGTGTGTTCTCCGGTGCTCAATGAGGAATGAAAGGTAACTGAATGTTTTATTACAGTCCTTACATTCATGAGGTTTCTTTCCAGTATGTATCATCTGATGTTTCACAAGATTTGAGATCTGGCTAAAGGTTTTCCCGCATTCCTTACATACATATGGCTTCTCTCCAGTATGAGTTCTCTGGTGTAATACAAGAGAAAAGCACCAACTGAATGTTTTCCCACATTCTTGGCATCCATAGGGCCTCTCTACCGCAGTTATGCTTATATGCTGAGTCAGAGCTTCTTCCTGAGACTTGCCTGATACCACTTGCCTGATACAACCTTGATTCCCTTGCAGCACCTCATTGCCATCCTCAAATTGCCAGTTTCTTTCCATACTGGAACATGTGGGATGTTGGCTTACAATTCTTTTCATTATCAAATACTGGGATGAATCATCTTCATAAGTAATATGTTTTGGAGATAAGTCTTTGATCTCACCATTTGACTGTGACACTGAAAGATACCAAAACAAAAAACAAAACAAAAAACCAGTAAATGATTGTCTCTCTTTTTTTTTCCTGAGTCCAGGCTGCTGAACTCACTACATAGCCCACGCTGGCCTCAAACTCCTGCCTCACCCTCCCAAGTGCTGAAAAGGGATCCATTTCTTTTCTTTTGCCCATGCATGTGTGCATGGATGTGTGTATGTTACTGGGGACTGAATCCAGGGGCTCATGCTTCCTAGCCAAGTGTTCTACCACTGATGTACACTCCAGTCCTTTTTACTTTTTATCTTGAAACATAGTCTCACTAAGGTGCCCAAGCTGGACTTGAACTTGTGATCCTCCTGCCTCAGCCTCCTCAGTAGATGGGATTACATGTAAATACTACTGTGCTTGGCCTACTGCTCCCTTCTTAAGGACAAACTTGAATTTTTTTTAAAAAATTTAACAATTCCATGGCTTTCATAGCTGCCACTTATAACTGAAATTTGAGGAATATGCCTAGTAACTGAGAAGAGATGTGGATACATAAGGGGAAAGACTACATATAGGTAACTGAAGGAGAAGAAACAGATCAGGAAGATAGTAATTGTGAAGGATAGGTTGTTAATCTTGTCTCTATTTAAAGTATATTTGTTGCCATACTTCTCTGAAAATGGCAATTTCATAATACTGTTAATAAGTTGTAAGTATTCCTCAGATCCCACAAAGACACCAAACTCTGTTAGCTTAGTGCTTCTGGAAACAGCTTACAATAATCTATCCTAAGTGGGAGGGAAAGAAGATTTTCTCTGAAAACTGCTGTCCATGATCCTCACTTTAACCCCACCCTCTGAACATAGGGTTTTTCCACAAATTGACAGATAAGCATTGGCTTGATTTTTATCAAGGCTGAATTTTAGGAATTCCATCACATTTTTAAACATAATTTTATAATACAACTTTAAAATCTTCCTTAGGAAATGCAAAAGTAAGGGTAAAGTATTCTCAAATGTTTCAGGAATAAATCATAAACCAAATGATAAGGTAAATGCAGCAACATGTTAGCAGTATGGGTAAAGGGCATGTGGATACTCTTCATGCTCTTCTTTTCTGTGAGTTTAAAATTATTTTTTCAAAAATACATTTAAAATTTTATTTTTCTCAGCCAGGTGTGGTGATGAATGTTTGTAATCCTGGCACTCTGGGAAGCCGTAGCAAGACTACTGCAAGTTCATACCCAGCCTGGGCAATTTAGCAATTTAGTGAGACCCTGTATCTAAAATTTTTAAAAATACAAAAAGAAATGCAGGTCATTAAAATGGTGCTGAGTTCAATCCCTGGTACTGCTAATTAATTGATTTTTCTCTAAAACACACTTTGGCACTTTGGGGAATGCTATCTTGTATTATTATTCCCTAGTACACCTGCTTTGCAAGCAATGTTGAAAGAAGTTCTTCAGAAACAGAAGTGTATAGGCCAGAAATTTGGATCTACATAAAGAAAAGAATGGGGGCTGGGGATTTAGCTCAGTGGCACAGTGCCTGCCTCGCAAGGGCAAGGTCCTGAGTTTGATCCCCAGTACCATACACACACACACACAAAAACACCATTAAATAAGTAAATGAAAGTAAATACAAATCTTTTCTTAAGTAAATATTGTATAAATCAAGAAATTTTAAAAATTTTGAACCAAATGAAAATAAAACTGACTAAATTTAGTGGAATACAGTATTTACAGGGAAATATTTAGCAATGAATGCATAGACTGTATTAGAAAAGAAGAAAGATTTAAAATTAATCATCTAGCTTCTTTAGGAAAATGGAAAGACCAAAATTAAATTGAAAATAATAACAAGAAATAAGTGATAAAAATTAAGCAGAAATCAATGAAAATGAAAATAGGATACCAAAAGAGAAAAATCAAGGAAATCAAGCTGGTTCTTTTTTTTTTTTACTGGGGATTGAACTCTGGATCTTGCGTTTGCGAGGCAGGCGGTGGAACCACTGAGCTAAATCCCTGGCCCTCAAGAGGGTTCTTTAAAAAGACCAATATAATCACCAAGCCTCTCACCAGGCTAATTAAGAAAAAAGATATCACAAATCACTGAGTCAGCAGTGAAAGTGAAAGAGAAGACATCACTCCTGATCCCTGGTGTCTTAGTTACTTTTCTCTCACTGCTGAGACAAAATACCTGGACCAGGGATTTAGCTCAGTGGTGCCACCGCCTGCCTTGCAAGTACAAGGTCCTGAGTTCAATCCTTGGTACCAATAAATAAATAAATAAATAAATAAAAAGGGTATTTCTCTGACATCCTGCTCAATTTAAAAAAAAAAAAAAAAACCTGATGCCCAAAGTTAAAGGGAGAAAGGTGTATTTGGCTTACAGTTTGTAGAGGTTTCAGTCCATAACTGGATGGCTCCAAGGCAGGGTGGCCAAGGGGCAACAGTTCACGGCAACAGAAGACCAACAAGGGAAGGGGGAGGGGCCTTCAACAATATCTTTCTGCCCCTTTTATCTTACACAGATAACTTAGGGCAGGTAGCACTCACATCCTCAATCCATTGCACCATGAATCAATTCTAGAAAAAGCCCCACCTGGGACTGCATGAGGCTTTAGGGGGACATCAAGACACAAGCCATAACACCTGGACATTGTAAAAATAATGAAATGCAAAGAGCAATTTTTTGATAACCTAGGTGAATGTAACCTAGATTTGATAACTGAGGTAAAATGTACCAATTCCTTGAAAGACACAAACTCCCAAAACTGTAACAAGAAACAATCTGAGTAGGCCTGTTAACAATTTAAGACACACTCAGCCATCTCCGACAAAGGAGCCAAACACCCTCACTGGAGGAAAGATAGCCTCTTTAATAAATGGTGCTGGAAAAATTGGGCTTCAACTTGCCAAAGATTAAAA